CGGGGGGATCGGGGGGATCAGGTCAGGGGGATCACAGGGATCAGGGGGATCCCAGGGATTGTGGAGCCCAAAGCTCCTCTGATCCCGTGTTTGATCCCGTGTTTAATTTGATCCCATATTTGATCTATATTTAATTTGATCCCTTATTTGATCCCCAAAACCAGAGCTGGACACCACCAAAACTCAGTTTTACACCCAAATCTGAGCCAGGCTTTACAAAACCCGACTCAGATCACCCCACAAACCCCAAAACCAGAGCTGGAAACCCAAAAATCCTCGGATTTACACCAAAATCTGAGCCAGGCTTAATAAAACCCAACTCAGATCATCCCAAAACCAGAGCTGGAAACCCCCAAAACTCAGATTTACACCCAAATCTGAGCCAGGCTCTACAAAACCCAACTCAGATCACCCCAAAAACCCCAAAAACTGAACCAAATACCCCCAAAACTCAGATTTACACCAAAATCCAAGCCAGGCTTTACAAAACCCGACTCAGATCACCCCAAAAACTGAACCAGACACCCCCAAACCTCAGATTTACACCCAAATCCGAGCCAGGCTTTACAAAACCCAACTCAGATCACCCCAAAAACCCCAAAACCAGAGCTGGAAACCCCAAAATCCTCGGATTTACACCAAAATCTGAGCCAGGCTTTACAAAACCCGACTCAGACCGCCCCAAAACCCCCCAAAAACTGAACCAAATACCCCCAAAACTCGGATTTACACCCAAATCTGAGCCAGGCTTTACTAAACCCGACTCAGATCACCCCAAAAACCCCAAAACCAGAGCTGGAAACCCCAAAAACTCAGAATTACACCCAAATCTGAGCCAGGCTTTACAAAACCCGACTCAGATCATCCCACAAACCCCAAAACCAGAGCTGGATACCCAAAAATCCTCAGATTCCCATCAAAATCTGAGCCAAGCTCACCAAAACCCGACTCAGATAACCCCAAAACCCCCCAAAAACGGAACCAGACACCCCCAAAACTCAGTTTTACACCCAAATCTGAGCCAGGCTCTACAAAACCCAACTCAGATCACCCCAAAAACCCCAAAACCAGAGCTGGAAACCCCAAAATCCTCGGATTTACACCAAAATCTGAGCCAGGCTTTACAAAACCCGACTCAGACCGCCCCAAAACCCCCCAAAAACTGAACCAAATACCCCCAAAACTCGGATTTACACCCAAATCTGAGCCAGGCTTTACTAAACCCGACTCAGATCACCCCAAAAACCCCAAAACCAGAGCTGGAAACCCCAAAAACTCAGAATTACACCCAAATCTGAGCCAGGCTTTACAAAACCCGACTCAGATCATCCCACAAACCCCAAAACCAGAGCTGGATACCCAAAAATCCTCAGATTCCCATCAAAATCTGAGCCAAGCTCACCAAAACCCGACTCAGATAACCCCAAAACCCCAAAACCAGAGCTGGAAACCCAAAAATCCTCGGATTTACACCAAAATCTGAGCCAGGCTTTACTAAAACCGACTCAGACCACCCCAAAACCAGAGCTGGAAACCCAAAAATCATCGGATTTAAACCAGAATCTGAGCCACGCTTTACTAAAACCGACTCAGATCACCCCAAAAACCCCAAAACCAGAACCAGACACCCCCAAAACTCAGATTCCCATCAAAATCTGAGCCAAGCTCACCAAAACCCGACTCAGATCACCCCAAAAACTGAACCAGACACCCCCAAAACTCAGTTTTACACCCAAATCCGAGCCAGGCTTTACAAAACCCGACTCAGATCACCCCAAAACCCCCCAAAAACTGAACCAAATACCCCCAAACTTCCAATTCCCACCAAAATCCAAACCAAGCTCAACAAAACCCAACTCAGATCACCCCAAAAACCCCAAAACCAGAGCTGGAAACCCAAAAATCCTCGGATTTACACCCAAATCCGAGCCAGGCTTTACAAAACCCGACTCAGATCACCCCAAAACCAGAGCTGGAAACCCAAAAATCATCGGATTTAAACCAAAATCTGAGCCAGGCTTTACTAAAACCGACTCAGACCACCCCAAAACCAGAGCTGGAAACCCCCAAACTTCAGATCCCACCAAAATCTGAACCAGGCTCATCAAAAACCGATTCAGATCACCCCAAAAACCCCAAAACCAGAGCTGGAAACCCAAAAATCCTCGGATTTACACCCAAATCTGAGCCAGGCTTTACAAAACCCGACTCAGACCACCCCAAAAACCGAACCAGACACCCCCAAAACTCAGATTTACACCCAAATCCGAGCCAGGCTTTACAAAACTCGACTGAGATCATCCCAAAACCAGAGCTGGAAATCCCCAAAACTCAGAATTACACCCAAATCCGAGCCAGGCTTTACTAAAACTGATTCAGATCACCCCAAAACCCCCCCAAAACGGGCTCAGAAGTGCCCACCTTGTCCTTGAAGTCGCTGTGGTTCTGCAGGATCGCTCGCTGGTACGTCCCCGTGCGCACGTAATCCTGCATCATGTTCTGCTGCTGGGACAGGTACCCGTAGAACTGCCGGACACACGGACACCTCAGCACAGGGGACTGCCCCGAAACGGAGGGGATGGGCCCGGAAAGAGCCAGAATTGACCCAAAATGGGATGGGATTGGCACAAAAAGAGCCAGAATTGGCCCAAAATGGGATGGGATTGGCCCGGAAAGAGCCAGAATTGGCCCAAAAAGGGATGGGATTGGCACAAAAAGGGATGGGATTGGCCCGGAAAGAGCCAAAATTGGCCCAAAAAGGGATGGAATTGGCACAAAAAGAGAGGGGATTGGCCCCAAAACACCTGGAGTTGACCCCCAGGAGCTGCAATTGGCTCAAAAGGGAGGGAATTGGCCCAAAAAGGGAGGGAATTGGCCCAAAAAGGGGTGGAGTTGACTCAAAAGGGATGGGACTGGCCCGAAAAGGGATGGAATTGGCCCAAAAAGGGATGGAATTGGCCCGAAACAGAGGGGATTGGCCCGAAAAGAGCCAAAATTGGCCCAAAAAGGGAGGGAATTGGCCCGAAAAAAGCCAAAATTGGCCCAAAAAGGGATGGGATTGGCACAAAAAGAGCCAGAATTGGCCCAAAATGGGATGGGACTGGCACAAAAAGGGAGAAAATTGGCCCAAAAAGGGATGGAATTGGCCCGAAATGGATGAAATTGGCCCAAAAAGGGATGTGACTGGCCCGAAAAGAGCCAGAATTGGCTCAAAAAGGGATGGAACGGGCAAAAAAAGGGAGGGAAGTGGCCCGAAAAGGGAGGGAATTGGCCCGAAAAGAGCCAAAATTGGCCCAAAAAGGGATGGGATTGGCCCAAAAAGGGAGGGAATTGACCTGAAACAGAGGGGATTGGCCCGGAAAGAGCCAGAATTGACCCAAAATGGGATGGGATTGGCCCAAAAAGGGATGGGACTGGCCCGGAAAGAGCCAAAATTGGCACAAAATGGGATGGGATTGGCACAAAAAGGGGTGGAGTTGACTCAAAAGGGATGGAATTGGCTCAAAAGGGATGGGATTGGCCCGAAAAGGGAGGGAATTGGCCCGGAAAGAGCCAAAATTGCCCCAAAAAGGGATGGAATTGGCCCAAAAAGGGATGGGATTGGCCCGAAAAGGGATGGGATTGGCCCGAAAAGGGATGGGATTGGCTCAAAAAGGGATGGGATTGGCCCGGAAAGAGCCAGAATTGGCCCAAAATGGGAGGGAATTGGCCCAAAAAGAGCCAAAATTGCCCCAAAATGGGATGGGATTGGCACAAAAAGAGCCAGAATTTGCCCAGAATGGGACGGAATTGGCCCGAAAAGAGCCAAAATTGGCCCAAAATGGGATGGGACTGGCACAAAAAGGGAGAAAATTGGCCCAAAAAGGGAGGGAATTGGCCCGAAATGGATGAAATTGGCCCAAAAAGGGATGGAACGGGCAAAAAAAGGGAGGGAAGTGGCCCGAAAAGGGAGGGAATTGGCCCGAAATGGATGAAATTGGCCCAAAAAGGGATGGGACTGGCCCAAAAAGGGATGGGATTGGCCCGAAAAGAGCCAGAATTGGCCCAAAAAGGGATGGGACTGGCCCGAAAAGAGCCAAAATTGGCCCAAAATGGGATGGGATTGGCTCAAAAAGGGATGGGACTGGCCCGAAAAGAGCCAGAATTGGCCCAAAAAGGGAGGGAATTGGCCCGAAAAGGGGTGGAGTTGACTCAAAAGGGATGGAATTGTCTCAAAAGGGATGGGATTGGCCCGAAAAGGGATGAAATTGGCCCGAAAAAAGCCAAAATTGGCCCAAAATGGGATGGAATTGGCCCAAAAAGGGAGGGAATTGGCCCAAAAGGAGCCAGAATTGCCCCAAAAAGGGATGGGATTGGCCCGAAAAGAGCCAAAATTGGCTCAAAAAGAGAGGGGATTGGCCCGAAAAGGGAGAGAATTGGCCCAAAAAGGGAGGGAATTGGCCCAAAAACACCTGGAAAGGGAGAGAATTGGCCCAAAAAGGGAGGGAATTGGCCCAAAAACACCTGGAGTTGACCCCCAGGAGCTGGAATTGCCCTTCCAGGACCTGGAATTGGCCCAAAAAGGGATGGAATTGGCCCAAAAAGGGGTGGAGTTGACTCAAAATGGATGAAATTGGCCCAAAAAGGGATGGGACTGGCCCAAAAAGGGAGGGAATTGGCCCGAAAAGGGATGGAATTGGCCCAAAAATGGATGAAATTGGCTCAAAAAGGAATGGAATTGGCCTGAAAAGGGAGGGAATTGGCCCAAAAAGAGCCAAAATTGGCCCAAAAAGGGATGGAATTGGCTCAAAAAGGGATGGGATTGGCCCGGAAAGGGAGGGAATTGGCCCAAAAAGGGATGGAATTGGGTCAAAAGGGATGGAATTGGCCCAAAAACAACTGGAGTTGACCCCCAGGAGCTGGAATTGCCCTTCCAGGACCTGGAATTGGCCCAAAAAGGGAGGGAATTGGCTCAAAAAGGGGTGGAGTTGACTCAAAATGGATGAAATTGGCCCAAAAAGGGAGGGAATTGGCCCGAAAAGGGAGGGAATTGGCCCAAAAACGGAGGGAATTGGCCCAAAAACACCTGGAGTTGACCCCCAGGAGCTGTAATTGCCCTTCCAGGACCTGGAATTGGCTCAAAATGGATGAAATTGGCCCAAAAAGGGATGGGATTGGCTCAAAAGGGAGGGAATTGGCCCCAAAAGGGAGGGAATTGGCCCAAAAATGGATGGAATTGGCCCGAAAATGGATGGAACTGGCCCGAAAAGAGCCAAAATTGGCCCAAAAACGGAGGGAATTGGCCCAAAAACAGCTGGAGTTGACCCCCAGGAGCTGGAATTGCCCTTCCAGGACCTGGAATTGGCTCAAAAAGGGAGGGAACTGGCCCAAAAAGAGCCAAAATTGCCCCAAAAAGGGATGGAATTGGCCCAAAAAGGAATGGGATTGGCCCGAAAAGGGATGGAATTGCCCTTCCAGGACCTGGAATTGCCCTAAAAAGGGATGAAATTGCCCTTCCAGGACCTGGAATTGGCCCTTCAAGAGCTGGAGTTGACCCCCAGGACCTGGAATTGCCCCAAAAAGAGCTGGAATTGCCCTTCCAGGACCTGGAATTGCCCCAAAAAGAGCTGGAATTGCCCCCCAGGGGTTGGAATTTCCCTTCCAGGACCTGGAATTGCCCCAGAAAGAGCTGGAATTGCCCCAAAAAGAGCTGGAATTTCCCCAAAAAAGCTGGAATTGCCCTTCCAGGACCTGGAATTGCCCTTCCAGGAATGGGAATTTCCCTTCCAGGACCTGGAATTACCCTAAAAAGAGCTGGAATTGCCCCTCAGGACCTGGAATTACCCCAAAAAGAGCTGGAATTGCCCCCCAGGAGTGGGAATTTCCCTTCCAGGACCTGGAATTTCCCTTCCAGGAGTGGGAATTTCCCTTCCAGGACCTGGAATTGCCCCAAAAAGAGCTGGAAATACCCCAAAAAGAGCTGGAATTGCCCCAAAAAGGGATGAAATTGCCCTTCTAGGACCTGGAATTGTCCCCCAGGGGTCGGAATTTCCCTTCCAGGACCTGGAATTGCCCTTCCAGGAGTGGGAATTTCCCTTCCAGGACCTGGAATTGCCCCCCAGGGGTCGGAATTTCCCTTCCAGGACCTGGAATTACTCCAAAAAGGGATGAAATTTCCCTTCCAGGACCTGGAATTGCCCCAAAAAGAGCTGGAATTGCCCCCCAGGGGTTGGAATTTCCCTTCCAGGAGTGGGAATTTCCCTTCCAGGACCTGGAATTGCCCTTCCAGGACCTGGAATTGCTCTTCCAGGACCTGGAATTGTCCTTCCAGGACCTGGAATTGCCCCCCAGGACCTGGAATTGCCCCAAAAAGAGCTGGAATTGCCCCAAAAAAGCTGGAATTGCGCTTCCAGGACCTGGAATTGCCCCAAAAAGAGCTGGAATTGCCCCAAAAAGAGCTGGAATTGCCCCAAAAAGAGCTGGAATTGCCCCCCAGGGGTTGGAATTTCCCTTCCAGGACTTGGAATTTCCCTTCCAGGACCTGGAATTTCCCTTCCAGGGGTTGGAATTTCCCTTCCAGGGGTTGGAATTTCCCTTCCAGGCCTGGAATTGCCCCAAAAAGGGATGAAATTGCCCTTCTAGGACCTGGAATTGCCCCCCAGGAGTGGGAATTTCCCTTCCAGGACCTGGAATTGCCCTTCCAGGAGTGGGAATTTCCCTTCCAGGACCTGGAATTGCCCCAAAAAGGGAGGGAATTGGCCCAAAAAGGGAGGGAATTGCCCCTCAGGACCTGGAATTTCCCTTCCAGGACCTGGAATTGCCCTTCCAGGAGTGGGAATTTCCCTTCCAGGACCTGGAATTACCCCAAAAAGGGATGAAATTGCCCTTCTAGGACCTGGAATTGCCCCCCAGGAGTGGGAATTTCCCTTCCAGGACCTGGAATTTCCCTTCCAGGACCTGCAATCCCTCCAGGAGCAAACCCCCACCTGGAAATACTGCACGGCCGACGATTCCTCGGTGCGCTCGCTGAACACCGAGCGCTCCGTGTTGTGACCCCGGCAGTTCTTCAGGATGTTGTAAAACGAGCAGAAATCTGGGGAAAAAACACCCAAAAATTCAGGATGAGGGGGATTTTTGGGATGATCCGGGCGGGGTTTGGGGGGAATTGGGGCGGGGGTCTCACCGCTGGGGGTCCCGAATT